CTGCTCCGTTCCTAGCCATACGAGCTTTACGTTACAGAGCAGAAATCAATGGAAAGGACTACCCACTTGGTGCGTCGGTGCTACATAGCGATTTGTATGTGGACGATGTATTAACTGGCGCAGATACCTTAACCGAATTAATGGAAATAAAGAAACAGCTCACCAAAATATTAGGCAGGGCTAGATTACAACTCGCAAAGTTTAGCAGCAATTCAAAGGACATAGTCGAAAGATCTCAAGATGAAATATTCATAGAACTCAATGATCAGGAATTCAAAAAGACCCTTGGAGTAGCATGGAAGCCAAACGCCGATGGGTTTGTGTTCCATCCTAAGGTTGTACTCGATGCTCCAGTTACTAGGAGGTCAGCGATTGCTCGAATTTTCGACATATTAGGGCTTATAAGTCCTATTATTATACGTGCTAAAATATTTCTTCAAGATCTCACACTGAAAAGGCTACCATGGGATACGAAACGAAAAACAACTCGCCATGTGGACCGAAATCACCGATGATCTTCGTTTGTTAGAAAATTTTACTGTACCGCTTTATGTTTTCCCTGCAAAATCTGAAATGTGTGAAATCCACGGCTTTGTGGACGCGTCCGAGCGGGCGAACGGTTGCTGTTTATACATTCGTGTCCAGAACGAAACGAAAATTGGGATCAATCTGAGGTTGCACCAATCCGCGCACAGTCGTTGCAGCTATGCGCTGCGTTGCTATTGCAGGATTGCTAAAACCTTATCTCTCAACTGTATACCTCTGCATTCTTCACAATTACAATGTTTTGTAGCTAACCGAATTTCCGAGCTACAAAAGAAAAACGACGACATTATCTGGAAACACGTCCCTTCAGCAAAAAACCCGGCAGATATCATATCACAAGGATGTCGAGCCAGGGATCTTTGGACCAATTTGCGGTATACTGGACCAGCGTTTTTGAAAGAACCAAAGGAAAAATGGCCTGCTCTTAGTGGAGCTCCTCCGGAACCGATAGAAGGTCGAAATCGAGTTGTACTGCAATGCGCCAGTGCCGAAAAGTCTATTTTAGAGTTCATTATCGACAACAGTTCATCATACATAAAAATAGTTCGGATTCTCGCTTATGTCTACCGAGCTATCAACAACGTTCCAGCACCTAAACACTTAAAAGGAAAGGACGTCACACACATTCCTGCGCGCGAAATGGAACAGAAATATTGGAAAATTATATCTCACATTGAAAGGAACGTGCATTCGTCTGAATTCTTGCGTAAAGAAAAGGAAAGACTCTGCGGTCAAGTTTGCAGACTTTTTTTACAGGAGACTACATCAGGAAATTTTCAATTCAGAATTACCATTTGACTCCAAGTTTTCAGCCATTTACCAAAGCATTATAGGTTTGTGTATCTCTACATTGAATATCTTCATCGCTCAAATCATCATGCTGATCCTAAGGCACTGCTAGCAATTTTGCGTCATAGATTTTAGATAACGCCAGAGCAGCGATTCGAAAACTTGTTAGAAACTGTATACATTGCTTTCATTAAAAGCCCCAGTTGGTGAAGCAAATCATGGGACATTTTCCAGCCGATGGGTTAAGGCAAAATCGACCATTTTTGATTTCGGGAGTAGACTTCTGCGACCCATTTTTCACAAGTTAAAGAATTAGGGGTAAGCCGCCCTACAAAACCTAATCCGCAATCTATGTTTGCTTTACATGAAAGGCCATTCACGTAGAACTCGTGACTGAGCTGTCTTCGGTTGCATTCCTGCTGAGTGTCCGCCGTTTCGTCGCTCGTAGAGACATCCATCTAAAATTGTATTGCCAAAACGGCACCAACTTTATCTGAGCCTCATCAAGGTTAAGGGAATTCAAGGATCAAATGTTTAATGACGTATCATTAAACTTTCTTCATTCGTACATTTCGGTGGAATTTGGGAAGCCGCAGTCAAATCAACGAAGACTTTAAAATTTAAAACGGTTTCAAATGCTAACTTAACTCTGGAAGAGATTCAAACCGTATTCATAGAAGTGGAGGCTATTCTCAACTCAAGGCCAATAGCTCCCGCATCTGATGACGAATAACGACGAGGCAGTCACTCCAGCTCATCTGATAATTGGTTCAAGCTAACTTGCCGCACCTGACGAAAGACTCTTCAACGCCATGGATCCAAAAGGAATGCGCTACCTCGATCGTTGGCAAAGGGTTGCTTACCTTAAGCAACAACTCTGGCACCTTTGGCATAGGGACATATAGCCTTCAGCAACGAACCAAGTGGCCAATCAGACAGCCAAACTTGGAGGTTGGACGGGACGGAGCCGTGCGCGTCGCCGATTTGAAAACTTCAAAGGGTACTATGTGGCGTCCGATTCATAAACTCGCTCTCCTCCCCGCAGCTTAATCTTAAGGAATGGTTCTTTAACAGGGGGAGAATGTCGGAGGAGATCTGTTGTTATAATTATAAGTTTTGAATTTGAATTTAACGTAACTGAAACTTTATAGCAATCACACGGTTGCATTTAACACATTTACCAACACTGCGCCACTCATAACATTTTGTAAACTTAATCCATATCTAATGTTAGCGCGGAAGAGCAGCTCACATTGCTTTTATCTATTATGCTAACAAAAACACATGTATTGCAAAAAAACAAGTATTTTCTTAGAACCCATTTTTACCACGCTTTTTGTGTTCGTTTAAATATGGTAATGTAGGCATTTAATCAAAGTAAAATTTGAAGGGGTTTTGTTCATATTACCGCTTAATTGAATGTTCTATTTGTGCAAAACGTATCTCGCTTTGACCCTTTTTATCGCCCTTGTCAACTCTGATTCTCAACTCTACTTGTGAAAAGTTCACAGCACTGACACCAGCATATTCTAGAACAGGCTTAATGAGGCATACAAAAATTTGAAAATTTGTATTTGTGGCCGCCAATGCCAGTTCCTTTGATATCATGCGCCATCAGCTGAGGGACACCCGCAGGCCAAAATTTACTAAGCCCTGAGGCAGCAAAACTTTGTCAAATCAAACGCCTTAGTCAGTAGGGGACTGCTGCCGGTCAGCTAATTTTGTTTGGGAACAAAAGGGACCAAAATATGGGAATATGTTAATAAGTTCACTTCCGAGTAAAAACAGGAACAGTCCTGTATAAAAATATTTATCAGTAATATCAATGAATTAGAATAGACAAATTATTGCTGTTAACATTAATGACACTAGCCAAGTTTTTATCAATAAATACTTTATTTGAAAATGAATACAAACATGTGTTGGTAGAAACCATTTCAAGGGGATGCTGGTTCAACAACTGAATTAGGAAGAAGTAGTAGAATGATGATCGGATCAGGTTGCATGGCTCGCATTGATCCCACGGCCACACCCTCCGATCGTATTTCGGTTAGGAGCTCGAGATTGCCACTCGAGTAGCTTGTTGACAGCGAATACTAAATTATTTCCCCAGGCACTTTTAATATTTTTGCTGTTTATGTTAGACGACGACGAGGCAAATTTAATCCTTGTTAAATTACTGGAAGGGTTCCTCCGGCATCTGCATCGACAATGTTATCTATTTGCCTTTCTTCTATGTCAGGCTGAGTGCTCTTTAGCCTAAGCTTTTTATAACAAGCTTGTGTCCCAAGCCCCATCCTTAAGTTTCTTACAAAGTGACTTCCATTTATCTCATTTGCAGGTGCGAATGACAATGTTTAGGAACTTCTTTGCCACCTCGTACTCCTCCTTCTGTGTCGCAAAGTTTCTGCTTCTTCTTGCTCGTGTGAGATGACGCCTGCAACTAAGGCTCGTTTCTCTCAATGCATTTATCTCGTCGTCGATTTCCCGCTTTGGGCATAGCGGTTCGAAGCCGCTTTTCGTATAATAGACATGGTGCCGCACTCCACACTTCCTGTTTCATGGGCTTCTATATGCCTTCTAGAAATTTCACGAATTAAAATGTCCTTATTTAGACACTTGACATATAATCTGCGGCTATTTTTAAGATTTCCCACTTGATGATGTCTGTTTAATCCGGCGACAAATGTTATATACTCGTGATCACTTCCGTTTAAGATATTTTAGACTTTCCAGTCTGATATCCTATGTGCGCAACGCGCCGAAATTGTACCTTCGTGACCTATCCGCTGAAATTTCGGTGTTGTACCTACATATGCTGGTGGTCCAGCTCTTGCCGACATACTAAGAACATTTCGGCCTCTGCTGTTGGCCGAAGACATTCCCCATTCCTGTGCCTTTGATTTTGTTAGCAGTATATTGGAAGCTGTATAGATCAAGTGGATATAAGATGTGACTATTTAATAATTTAATAATAATAACACTTATGTTCCATTCCGATGTTCCAATAATGTAGATAAGAGACACAATTGGAAGCAGACGTGAAAAAGCTAAGCTGAACAGAAATTAAATAAAATAAAAACTCAAGAATTGAAATAAATAATATAAACCTGCGTCAACAACTTTAGAAGTGGGATAGTCCCATTAATACATTCGCCTACATAGCCATACCTGAGAGCACACATTTTTTTCCGCTTTTATAATTACGACGCCATTCTGAAATGGACAAGACACAAATTGGTGAGTGGCTACAAGCCAACGAAATCGAGTTCCCTGCAAGTGCAACTTTAAGGCAATTGCGCAAGCTCGCTTTGGATGCTGGATACCAAGAAGTGGCTGAAATCCCAGAAAGCATATTGGAGGAGGAGAACTCCAAAATGGAAGTATTAAGCCAAGGAGCCGCTACCGAAGGCATCCAGACATTGGAAGAAGAAGAAGCACTGCTTGACGCCGCCATAAGGGTTGCTGAGAAGAAGAAAATATTGGCCGGATTGATGAAAAACGTCGACAAAACGACAGATGACCTCCAAATGGTGAAGCACCTCGTGAGCCCGTTTTCTGCCACTGAAAATGAGGAAGCCCTTAAGTAGATTTTGAATTTTGAGAGAGTCTGCAGAGATATCAACACATGTACAAATTTTCAACTGCGCTGCGTACAATTGTTGATGAAATCGGGTACAGATGCCGACTTGTTTGTGAGTGTTGATCGATCGAACACTTACGACGAATTTAAGACAAATTTCATAAAAACATTCGGTCGTGGAAGCTCAACTGCTGATATTGTATTGCTACTTAAGGAAACCATGTTCAACCCCGCGAAGAACACCGTTATGGGATACATACTTCTGATGGAGGAAATTGCTATGCGTGCAAATATTGACGAAAAATTGACAGTGCAGTTCGTCATTGATGGTTTTCGCGATCGTTCAGCCAATATCGCTATATTGTACACAGCAACAACAATCGCACAATTGAAGGAATTGGCTTGGAAGTATGGCAATCTAAGGAAGAAGTCACACAATTTTCCTCAGCGCATGGAAAATACTGGAGGAGATCGGAAAACAGCCCGGTGCTACAATTGCTCTGCTTATGGGCACTACGCTTCGTCGTGCACTGCGCCGAAACGCGAGAAGGGATCTTGTTTCCGTTGTGGATCCCTCCAACATATGCTAAAGGATTGTCAGCAGAAGCCAGCAAGTGATCCGAGAGTGGTGGGAGCAGCCAACAACCAGCCGATACGAGATGACGAAGAGGAGCCTAATATGTTTATTCCGATTTTTAACCAGGTAGGAGTATATTTTTACACTGATTGCCAACATAAGCCTAACGTAACTCTTCTGTCTGCCATGTTCGATACGGGAAGCGCCATTAATTTAATTCAGCTCTCTGCGTTTCCTTATAAAAACTTTAGCGATATACTGGTCCCGACGAATTACTATGGAGTTAATGGATTTAAAATTAAAACATTCGGAAAAATTTTTGTCAGGCTCGTTTTTCAAAACATAGAAGAAGAAATTTCATTTTTTGTTGTACCCAATAATTATGTTTCAACTAATGTTCTGTTAGGCCGTAAGTTTTTTGAGAAATTTGGAATAAAATTGATTTCTAAGGATAAGGTAAAAGAAATTGTAGAAGTGAATTTATTTAAGGATAGTGAACCATTGAAAATAGTGAGTATTGAATAGACTTCAGAATAGTGAAACATATAGAGACAGTGACCATTTAGAAAGCAGTAGAGATTTTGAAGAGTTGTGTATAGAAAATGAAATAGTTAGTGACGACAGCATTCCGTATATATATAGTATTGATGTATTTCAGGATGATGAAAGTTTTGACATTGACCCGAAGTTATGTGATGAAGATCGAAGCGAACTCAGTGAAATAATAAGATTGAATTACTTATGTTTATCTAACATCCCAGCGATCCAACATAGTTATGAAATGAGGCTAAGACTTAAGTCTGAAGAACCGGTACGCACTGTACCAAGAAGACTGTCGTATCAGGAGAAGAAAGAAGTGGATTCAAAAATTGATGAGTTATTGAAAAAAGGATTCATAAAAGAAAGCAATTCACCCTATAGTTCCGCTATCGTTCTTGTTAAGAAAAAATCTGGAGAAAAGCGTATGTGTGTAGATTATAGACAACTTAATAAGATAACCGTTCGAGACGGATACCCCCTTCCCCTCATAGATGACTGCTTAGAGAGATTAGAAGGAAATAAGTATTTTACGTTGTTAGATTTGAAAAATGGATACCATCAAGTGAAAGTAGCAGAAAGTTCCGTGCAGTATACAGCATTTGTAACACCTTCCGGTCAATATGAATATACAAGAATGCCTTTCGGACTCATGAATGCACCCGCAGTATTTATGAGATTTATTAACTTTATTCTGCAACCTTTGATTCGCGAAGGAAATGTAGTAGTTTATATAGATGATATTGCAATAGGCTCGAAACGAACGAACATACCGATTGGAAATTAAAATAAATAAGTGCCAGTTCGCTTACAAAAAGCATTTTAGGGTATACACTGAGTGAAAAAGGAATAAGTCCGAATTATGAGCACACATCAACTATTAAACATCTTCCGATACCAAAAGATCGCCATGGAATGCAGAAATGTTTAGGACTATTTTCTTACTTTAGGAGGTTTATTCCGGCATACTCAAAAATAGCAAAGCCATTGCAAGAGCTCACAAAAGCAGGTGTTAAGTATGAACTTAGTGAGGATTGTATAAAAACTTTTGAATATCTTCGTGACAAATTAATTTCATCTCCCATATTATCCTTGTACAACCCAAATCGAGAGACTGAATTGCATTGCGACGCAAGTAGCGAGGGATTTGGAGGAATTTTGTTGCAAAAGCAGGATGATAATAAGTTTCACCCAATAGCCTATTTTTCACAAAGAGCAACAAAACTAGAAGCTAGATATGAAAGCTTTAAATTGGAAACATTAGCTGTAGCTTATTCATTACGAAAATTCAGAATATATTTAGAAGGAATTCCGTTTAACATAGTAACAGATTGTAATGCAGTAGTTTTGTGCCTAGGGAAAGGATGCCTTAACTCGAGCATTGCCAGATTGGCTAATTACAATTATACCCTTAAGCATCGTAGTGGAAAATATATGACTCATGTTGATTCATTAAGTAGATACCCTTCAGTCTTAAATGAGAGTTTTGAATATGAACCAGTAGTGAATATCCAAAATAGTGACAACAAAGATCAAATAGTTTCAGTAATTGACAGTGACGACATCAACCTTCAGCTTCAGATAACGCAAAATGAAGATAGTATTATAGTGAAATTGAAAGAACAATTAGAACAAGGAAGTGTGAAGAACTTTATATTAAGCGATGGAATTGTTTATAGATTAGGTGAGAATGATATTGAATTGCTATATGTACCAGCTGAAATGGAATCCCATATAATTAGGTGGGTTCATGAAAATTTATGTCATTTAGGTTCCGAGAAGTGCTTAAAAGAAATAATGAGACACTATTGGTTTCCGAACATGAAAGCTAAAATAGATGCATTTATTGGAAATTGCTTAAAGTGTATCATGTTTACGGTACCCACACATGCGAATAATCGAACACTTCATAACATACCTAAGCGACCAATTCCGTTTGATACATTACACATAGACCATTTTGGACCTTTACCTTCAGTTATATCGAAAAAGAAACATTTGCTAGTAATTATTGATGGATTTACCAAATTTGTTAAGTTGTATCCAGTGAATTCAACGAGTACAAAAGAAGTCAACATGTGTTTTTCGAAATATTTTCAATACTATAGTCGACCACGTAGAGTTGTAAGTGATAGAGGTACATGTTTTACGTCATTAGAATTTGCCAAATTTTTATTAGAAAATAATATCGAACACGTTAAGGTAGCAACTGCGTCACCTCAAGCGAACGGACAGGTGGAGAGAGTAAATAGGACAATAAAAGCGATGCTGGCCAAGATAACTGAACCAATTAAACATGAAGACTGGAGCAAACTTTTAGATAGGGCCGAATATGCCATTAATAATTCAATGCATTCAACTACAAAGGAATTACCCTCAGTATTATTATTTGGAGCTCAGCAGAGAGGTTGCAATATTGACGCATTAACAGAATACTTAGATGATAGAAATGATATACCACAGAGTGATTTAGAAAATGTGCGTAAGAATTCTTCAGATAAAATAGAACAGTGCCAGAAAAGGAGCAAAGAATATTTTCAGAAAAATCATAAAGATCATATAGAATTTGAGGAAGGCGATTTTGTTGTAATGCGAAACATTGACAACACAATTGGTACAAACAAAAAGTTTGTACCAAAGTACAAAGGACCATATATCGTTAAAAAGATATTGCCAAACGATAGATATGTCATAAGTGATATTGAAAATTGTCAAATTAGTCAAATTCCCTATGAAGGAATTGTAGAAGCATGTCGGATACGAAAATGGGCAGATTGGCGTAATCAGTGTGAAATTAACTCCTAATATATGCTAAATTAATTTAATTATATATCATAACTAGTCAAAATTATTACTAACTAAAACATATAATATTAAGAAAAACTTTTATAATATTAAAAACCCACGATCGAGGACGATCTAATTGTCAGGATGGCCGAGCTGTTAGCAGTATATTGGAAGCTGTATAGATCAATTGGATATAAGATGTGACTATTTAATAATTTAATAATAATAACACTTATGTTCCATTCCGATGTTCCAATAATGTAGAATAAGTAGTAAGGACTATGTGAAGATCAGAATAGGGTAACACTTGAATTAAGAGAGACAATTGGAAGCAGCTGCCAGCTATGTTTTCACTATGGTCAATTTTGTTCCGAAAAGCTTTTGAGCTAGGTAGAAGCTAACAATGCTGAACTTCTATACATACTTGTACGTATACGTAGCAGCTACATCTTCCATCGCCTAGCCAGTGTAAATCACTTGATGCTGGGATCCAAATGGCTGCAGATTTATCTACATTTTCTAACCAGATGTCATCTTGTTTTTCTCTGTACTGTTCATTGTGTTCCAGTACAGTTCGGCTTCGGTATAGGTTAGCTTGTAGAATTTTTATACTTGGGCCTTGGGGGTACTGACGGTGCAATTACTCGTCCCAGGGAAATGATTAAGATCTCTTAGACGTTCGTATGCACACTAGCAGCATTTCGGCATCCTTGTGCAGTTTCTCATTTTGTGACCGGTTTCTCCACACCTGATGCACTGGCCCCTCCTGTCTGGTTCAGTACAGTGGTCTACCACAAACAACTAAAACAGTGTGTGACTTCTATGCATTGTTTTATTCGGCATCAAGTCAACTCTATTCTAATTCTTGGCTCGTTTAGGATTGCAGCCGCCGCTTCTGTTGGCAATATAACTGGCTTCCGCCGCCAATTATCGTCTTGATTTAAGGAACGACTTCATTCTCACTAGGTATCATATCTCCAGCTTGCACATTGGTCTCATAGCCCCCACTGTGACGTTGTCTTTAAGAGTGTCCTTAATGGTCTCAAAGTGTTTCTCCGTCTTACTTTTTCTTGTAAGTTCAATTAGCACATCCACTGATTTGATTTTCCTTACCGAGCGAATGACAATGTCTTTCTTGACAGGCTTCCAATTTATTTCAGCCCCCTGAGTACCTCGTCGTAACTTTTGCATTTTGCGGTCTTGATCAATACTGCTTCTAAACGTATTCTCACCCTGGACTATTCTCCTTTCTTTTAAGTCTCGCCAACTTTCTAAACCTTCCGAGTCACAGTTTTGAAACCATCCATGCTTTCCTTACACTTCGCTCTTTTTTGATGACACTTGCACGGCTGGGCCAGAGGCATCCCGCTTTTTACAAAACGAGACCGGTGCGTCAGTTTCCTCCAGCATTTTTTTGGCTTCAGTTGCCATGTTAGATTCCTTGACTTTCTCTGCTTCAGCAGACAACCAGCTTTTCCTATAGATCCCCACGATATCAAGGAGTGCGCTTAATTCAGACGCTCCGTTTTGAAACATTTATACTGATGTTCTGCTGTCTTGTGGTGGCATGTTTCGTTTTTCGCAGCACAGCTCTACTTTTATCGATGGCTTTCTATTCTAGGGTTCTCATCTTATATATAATCTCTTGTCTCGGGGAACCTACCGAGACTCCAACCTTTTGGGATAAGGAAGGAGTTTGCTGATCCTCTTGGGGTATTGACGTATACGGGTTGCGCCTTTTCGGCCTTCTTTCCTGCTCCTGTAACGCTTTGATCTAGCGACCTCGTGATTTTTCTGCTCTTTTGATATTCTTCGCTTTCTCCTTCTCGTTTTTCATTATTTTAATTTATGCTTTATGGGTCCAAACTTTAAGTCGCTATCTCCTCACATATGCACAGT